CGCCAAGTGGGCCGCACGCCCGGCCACAGAGCCCGCAGTCCGCCCGGGGGTGGGGGTGGGGAGGACTGGTCCACGCTCAGCTGGCCTGAGGCTCCCGGCTGGGCCGCGACTCACGACTTCCACCCTTTCGGTCCTGCAGGGCGGAAGGATGGTGAACCTGGAGACCGTCACGAGCCTACTTTGGCACCTGCCCGCCCTCTTTGCTCTGAGCTTTCCCCACCTTGGGTCCCTCAGAACACCACCAGCGCGAGGGCCCCTTGCCCCTTGCCCTGTCCTCCCAGTTCCCAGCCCTGGCACTCTACCCTCGCGCGCGCGCCTAATCCAGAGCAGAGCCCCAGATGGGAGGCACCTTAACCACCACCCCAAATCTGGAAAATTCACCGCCCCTCGCGGCCTGGGCAGGTCTCCTATGTAAGATAAGTCAACGATATAAAGATAAATCCAATAAAGAAAATCCACTGAAAGGTTGGCAAGAGAAGACCAACTCCCCCAGAATCGAACTAGCTGAGGAATCCAGCGCAGGGTTCTACCGCCAGAGCGTCACCAGGCAGCCTTGGAGCGCTCCCGCAGCCCCACAGCATTAAGACACCCCTTCTACTTTCAGCGCGGTTGGCCTGAGGCCTTGAAAAGCCCTCGCCAAAATTAGGGACCGCCGGAACAGATTTAAACCCAAGAGAGCCGCCTCTGGTTTATCGGGTGACCCAAGAGAGGAAGTAACTGGAGATGCTCGCCGAGAGGTCTGACGTTCTGGCCCCGCTGCTCCGGCCGACTGCTGCATCTCCTGGAAAACGGAGTCAGCTGAGGTTGGCACCAGCTATCAAGAGCCCTTCACCAGAGCATTTTCTCCTTGGGTTTTGGAGGTGGTGGGTAGGAGATTTTGCAGAAAGGAGAGTGCAAAAATACAGAGTAAAAATATATATATTTTGTCATGGGCAAAAAACCATAATTTAGGTGAAGAAGGAAAAAAATTTACAGAACAGGTGAATAAAGATTATATGCTACATAGAAGATCAAAGATTGACAAAGAGGGTTAGAATAATTGGTTACCACTTCCTTGGCCTCCAGAGAGCATAGAGAATTTATTGGCTAATTTTTAAAAATGGTTTTCAATAGTGAATCACCAGACCACCCCTTTCTGAATTTCTTGGTGTTCTAGTCTAAGCCAACAGCAATTTTCTGAATAAAATTTCTGCAGAAGTGGGAGGAAGACAAGAGAGCCTGGCAGAAAGTACCTACAACCCAATCCTTCACCCCATAGTTATCAAGTTGTGACCAGTATACTATTGCCAGACACCAGAGAAATAGTTCCCCACCAGGAGTTTAAGTCTAGATTTGCTGCAGGTATCAGAAACACTGGTAAGTTATCTTCTGAGGCTCTAGCCCAACTAGTCAGCTTCCCACTGGAGCCCTGAGTGGGAAGATTTGCCCTGATGCCCAGGCTTGCTGTTTGTGTGGTCAACAAATGGGAAGTAAACATCTGATGTCTCACAGGGGCTAGGGATATTTCTTTGGGATGGTCCTGACAACTAGGACTGGGCCATGTAACCTCTCCATTATTCACAAAGAGAAATAAAACAGTAACTATGAAACTGAAGGAAGGTTCTCCAAAAAGCTTTTGTTTTCAGACCAGCATTTGGAGGAATGGCCTTATTTTCATTCTGTTTTCTAAGCTTAGTGGGGTCACCTGACAAGCTCTAGCCCACCCAGCATAGGAAAGATTGTACCTGTCCGACCAACATCACCACCTCAACATCTACAAAATAAACAGTCTGAAATCCTTGTTTCCACAATGAACATATTGCCAGCAATAAGCATCAAGTCGATAGTCTTATTTACCTTTTCAAAGTATATATATATACATGTATGTAATTTTGTGGTGAGGAATGAAATTATTTTTTTAAAGTCCCTATAGCTCCTCAAAATATAACCAGGTGACAATGAGACACACACCCCCCCAAAAAAACTTGTTGGCTGTTATAAAGAATTGCACAGCATCCTGTAATATACTTGACCATCCAAGTAGTTTCAAGGGACCCCCTCCTTGGGCTCTAATTCTTTCATTCTCCCCAAGTGCATCTGATGGATGCCAGGAACTGTGCTGGGCACTAGAAGGGGAAAGGGAGGAGAGGTACAAAATGACATAAAGCGCCCCCCCCCTCCAGCAGTTGACAATCTGTCTAGTGTCCCTCCCACACGCTCATACACAAGCCCATTCACCTTAACTAGGCCTAAGAGAATCCTGCCCACCCATCATACGTCCTTAGTATAGGAAAATTTTCCAAGAAGTTGAGTAAGAATAAAATGTTTCTGATAAATCACTGCAATTCAGTCAACTACAGGAAAGCAATGGTTAAATAAAAGGCATGAATAGCCAGGAAAGATTAGGGAGATTTGCAAACTAAAGCAAGTTGTGCATACCTATTAGCCCAACATGTAAAATACTGATCCAGATCTTATCTTTGACTTTTCCTTTAGGGACCAACACCAAACCAGTCCCCCTTTTCATAAGGGGGGTAGGGGATTTGAGTTCATCTGATCCCAGCCCTCTTCAGGTAGACTCCAGGGGCTCAGGCAGAAGCCTTGCATGAAGGTGGGTTTCCAGGATCAAGTCCCTAATTAGTTACACAAAGAGAAAACCATAAACAATTTGTGTACTCGGTGGTATTTACTTCTTTCTTTAACAAACTGCCTTTTGGGAAGAGAGTTGTCATAAGAGCAAATCAATCATTTCCAGGGGGATTAAAATATTGGAGAGGAGGGGAAGACAGTTTAACTCAAAGGCTTCCTGCTACTTTAACCCATTGTTTGGTTTCATATGAAAGCCATGTGCCCTATGCTGTAACAAAAGAGAACAGAAACAATAAAGAAACAAGGATGCAGCTTCCCACCAACATATTATGATCCACTAGGCGTAAAATGTTTTATGCTTGTGTGTATGAATAGATAAATGTAGATAAAAGTTCAAATAGAGTAATTTTGTTTTCCGAGTTCCTTTATGTCAGTGTATTCCCCCCCCCCAAAGATCTTTTCCTCTCTGAGAGCCTCAAATTCCTAAATGTTCACTGTGCAAGTAGATGCTAAGTCCACTGAAATGGATTCCCATTTCCAGGGCCTCCATAGACATTGTTTGGACAAGATAAGAGTGTCTCTGATGATGAAACCAGCCAGATTAACTAATCCCAGGACTTGACCACTTTCAAGGAAGCCAGGTTGACTGTACCCACTGGGCCTGATCTACCTGGATCATGATGTTGCCCTGGTGGTGACAGGGACCTGGGCAAAGAGATGGGCCTACTCATGCCTTAGCTGGCGGGAAGTTTCCTTCAAAGGTGAGCCTGCCCAGGCTTTTGCCTAAAGGGACCCAGCCACCACTATTAGCACCACCCAGCTCTGGCCTCTCCTAGGGTCTGGGAACATTTCCAGGAGATACACCACTGGTGAGTTCTGCCCAGGTGTCCCAGCAAAGGAACGTACAGTCTGAGTTTGGCGCAGTGCAGGCCACACACACTTTGTTTCATATCTGGGCCTAGAAACCAAGCTCTGAGAAGCAGTGTCCCATTGTGACCACCACCCGCCCGGGGCCCAGGCTTGGCGCTGACCCGGTCGTAACTGCCAAGGGACTGACAATGGACACATCTGTCCTTTCTCTGAGGGATGAAAGCACCTAAGCGGACACGGCTCTGCCTTTTGTTACAGATTTTTTTTTCCCTTTCTTTTGTAAATGAAAGAAAGCCCCGGCATGTGGCGGCCGGGTGTACGTCCCACACTGGGGGCCGCCCCACGCGTCCCCACCAGGCTCAAGGACCATGTTCGATTCTGGATTGGAGCGTTGATTGTGAGAAGCGGACAATTACACCCGAAGCTGAATTGATTTTCAAATCTGGAGGCTTCTCGCGGGGACGCCGGGAAGAGGGCGTCCCTATGGGCCAAGCGGAGACCGGCGCGACTGGTCCACCCTGCCGGCGTCAGTCCTTCCCGCAAGCAGTGGCTTCTGGGTGCTTTACCAGGAGGGCCATGGAGGACCCGCAGGAACGGAGAGAGCCTCGTCAGCCCCACCAGCACCCAGAAGTTAACATGGGAACCCACGAGGGCACTCCCCGCCCCCAACACACACACACACACACACACACACACACACACACGAGTCACAGGCGAAGCCGGCGCGCCGCCTTAATTGTCAGCTGAGCCAGAGGACCCAGGCGGCGGGACACAGCGAGGTATGGCCCGGGCAGGGACTCTTGGCACTGAGCGCTCCTCTCTCCAGAGCATGGAAGAGGAGGGGTGGGCAGAGAATTATCAGGGAGGACTGAGGTTGCTGGGTCAACAGCCACCCAGCTGCCCAAGGCCTTTAAGATATTTGTTCCCCTCCCCCTACAAAAAGGCCAAGCACCTTAGGATGGGGAGAACGCGGACTCCCAGAAGCCCTCCGGGAAATAAAGCCTAGCGGGCCAGGGTGGAAGGGGTGATGACACAGTCCTCAGCATACCGGGCAACCTGCGCCCGGAGGCAGCAACTCGAGAGAGAGAGACAGTCCCTCAATTACAGCAACCAGATGAGAGAGGAGGTTGAAGGTTGAGGTTCAAATAATACCTCGAGAGAGAGAGAGAGAGAGAGAGAGAGAGAGAGAGAGAGGGGTGACAGCTCCCCAGGCATAGCGCACCACCAAGGATGGAAGCCCGGCAAGTACTGCCTGGGACTGGGAAGAGAGCCCACCCAACCCAGGGAGCGGACAAGGGCGCAAGTCTCCTGGGGTTGCGGTGGCTGCCCCAGGTGGTTCTCTACGCTGGGCCTTCCCAGGTGCGCGCCGCAAACCCGGCCACCCCGCGCCGCTGGCAAGGCGCTGGGGCCCCCTCCTACATTTGTAAGGGGACGTCACGGACCGCGCGCGCGGGGGCCGAGGGGGCGGGGCCGAGCCACGCGCCTGCGCGCTGCTCCCAGCCGGCGTGAGGGCGGGCCGCGGCAGCTACGGCGGCGGCGGCGGCGGCGGCGGCAACGGAGGAACCGCGGCCACAGAGTCTGCAACAGTAACCGAGCCATGGCTCGAGCTGGCCAGCGGCGCGGGCAGGCACCAGCCGCGGAAGGCGCGTGGGCTGCATCAGGAGAGCCGGGGGCCTCACAATTCTAATAAGGAGAGGGGCGAGAGGGGACCGGGAACGAGGGGGCTGGGGACACCGCGCTCACCCAACGGCGCGGATCCTTTTTGGAAATTAATATTAAAAAAAAAAAGCCGAGGACGCAGAGGGAAAGGTGGGGGCAAGAGGGAAGGCTAGACACACAGAGGGAGACAGAGCCCCACAGTGAGAGGAAGGAAAGAAGGCAACAGTCGCCAGCAGCGGATGTGAAGACCGGACTCCGTGAGCCCTTTGCCGCCTCTGCCCGGCCTCATCGATGTTGTGTCCGCCGCCCGCTCGCCCGGATCACGATGAATGCGCAGCTGACCATGGAGGCGATCGGCGAGCTGCACGGGGTGAGCCATGAGCCGGTGCCCGCCCCTGCCGACCTGCTGGGCGGCAGCCCCCACGCGCGAAGCTCCGTGGCTCACCGCGGCAGCCACCTGCCCCCCGCGCACCCGCGCTCCATGGGTATGGCGTCCCTGCTGGACGGCGGCGGCGGCGGCGGCGATTACCACCACCACCACCGGGCCCCTGAGCACAGCCTGGCCGGCCCCCTGCACCCCACTATGACCATGGCCTGCGAGACTCCCCCAGGTATGAGCATGCCCACGACCTACACCACCTTAACCCCTCTACAGCCGCTGCCGCCCATCTCCACCGTCTCGGACAAGTTCCCCCACCATCACCACCACCACCATCACCACCACCACCCGCACCACCACCAGCGCCTGGCGGGCAATGTTAGCGGTAGCTTCACGCTCATGCGGGACGAGCGCGGACTGGCCTCCATGAATAACCTCTATACCCCCTACCACAAGGACGTGGCTGGCATGGGCCAGAGCCTCTCGCCCCTCTCCGGCTCCGGTCTGGGCAGCATCCACAACTCCCAGCAAGGGCTCCCCCACTATGCCCACCCGGGCGCCGCCATGCCCACCGACAAGATGCTTACCCCCAATGGCTTCGAAGCCCACCACCCCGCCATGCTTGGCCGTCACGGGGATCAACACCTCACGCCCACCTCGGCCGGCATGGTGCCCATCAACGGCCTTCCTCCGCACCACCCCCACGCCCACCTGAACGCCCAGGGCCACGGGCAGCTCCTAGGCACAGCCCGGGAGCCCAACCCTTCCGTGACCGGCGCTCAGGTCAGCAATGGAAGTAATTCAGGGCAGATGGAAGAGATCAATACCAAAGAGGTGGCGCAGCGTATCACCACCGAGCTCAAGCGCTACAGCATCCCACAGGCCATCTTCGCGCAGAGGGTGCTCTGCCGCTCCCAAGGGACTCTCTCGGACCTGCTGCGTAACCCCAAACCTTGGAGCAAACTCAAGTCCGGCCGTGAGACCTTCCGGAGGATGTGGAAGTGGCTGCAGGAGCCAGAGTTCCAGCGCATGTCTGCCCTCCGCTTAGCAGGTGAGCCAGGTCACGAGCTGGGCGCGCGGAGACAGAAGGGATGGAGAAGCAAGGGACCGGAGGGAGGGAAGGCGAGAGGGCTGGGACCGCTTCACTCCGTACTCTTTTCCACGAGAGAGGGGTCCTTGGGCCTGAAAGAGCCAGCACACGGCTCCAGGAAGCAGACCAACTCCTCCAGGACTTAGTGCGTTGGGCTGGGAAAGGCTCGGGAGCTGAGTGGCGCGGCCTCGGCGACTGCGAGGCGCATTTGTGCTCAGAGACAGCACTGGAAGCTCTCATGTCCCTCGCACCTGGCGGGACACCGTCTGTGCGTCCTCTTCTCCGTTGGGCGCTCGGGGTTTGAGGAGAGGGAGGCAACGCGTGCGTGAAACTGCGCGCAGGTGCTGCCCGCTAGTACCCCTGGCACGTACCCGGGCGCTGGGCTGGAGCTGTCTGCCAATGTTTGGCTGAACTCTCTGCGGTGACCCCCTCCGCACTCACTTTATTGGCACGGGGCGGGAGTCGGGGAGCCCAGTGTTCTGGAAAAAGATTCTGAAGCCGCGGGACGGTGGGTGTGCGGCGCGGACTGTGTGTAAGATATAGCACACACTCTGCGCTTGTAACCGCCTGTAGACTGGGAAGGGAGGCAGACCTGGCCGAGGTCCGGGTGAGGGCGACCGAGCAACAAGGGAGCGGCCAGCCGAGCCCAGGGACAGCCTTCGCTGCCAACTCGCTTAGTACTTCGCATTTTGTTTTATTGCTCTGCATGATTTTTCGTCTGAATCCCCACGCAGGGTGGTGGGAATGTGGAAATGACCCCCAGGTTTGGGAGCATAGGTTTCTGGACCCGAAACCCCAAGGCCTGGGCATTTCCAAGTTGACGGAGAAGGTCTCGGCGACGCTGCATAGACATAGCGCCTAGCTCCCCCCGTCTCTCTAGGCAAAGGTGTGGACAAGGCTTTGCCGGGCCGACTACCGGAGGGGCAGCTGGGACCAAGCTGAACCGCACCGGGGATTTCACGCGGATTCGGCGACCTTTGAGGGCGGAGGACACTGGGGGAAGTAGAGCCCGGGGCAGCCGAGGATAGACTCGGTTTGATGAGACCTAGGTTGAGTTGACTGACTTCTGGGTCCATTCCCCCTAAGCCCCCCAACTCCCAATCTCAGCCCGGCACCCTGGCCTGAGTCCTGGCGAAGAGAAAGGTAAAAGCCGGTGTGAGGGTTTGTTAATTAACTGATCGTTCTCCATTAATTCGTCCCTGGAGAATGAGAGACAGTCAATCCGCTCAGAGCCGGGGGCACTAAGCAGTTTCGCAGTCTAAAATCAAAGCGAGAGGCCAGAGCCCCCTCCCCCACCTCGTGCGGGCCAATGGGAAGCTAGAGGGAAGCAGGTGCTGGCGTGCCGGGAGCCTGCGACTCGAGCCCGGATGCGACCCAAAGCAATCCTCTCGTCTGGGTGCTCAGGCCGGCGCGGAACTGGTTGAGCCTCTGCCCCTCCAGGTTTTTCCAGCCCAGCCCGGCGCTAGTTCCCTTCAAGCAAAGTGCTCACGCAGGGAAGCCAGGGGTAGGGGCACAGGAAGAGAGAGATTGACCGTGTGCCCCCTGGGCTCCCGCGATTCCACTCTCTAGCCCTGTGTGCAGCCACCATATGCCCCCCCTCCGTGGGCTGACCGAGACCCAAGGGCACCTGAAGTTCCAGGGCGGGTGGGCGAAACAGCTACTCTCTCCCTGACTCCTCTGCCTCTGCCTGCGCCCAAGGTGGTCAGTGCCTTTCCACACGCCTGTGCCAGCCTTGAGCCCAGCTTCAGTACCTTTTCCCCAGGCAGGGCCCGCACAGGCCGGTAAGGGGGTTGGAAATAGACTGGTGCCCCCAAGGAAGTCCGTCCTCCACCCGCCACCCGCAACCCACCCGGTGAAAGCGTTTACTTGGAACCCGCCTCGCCCACTGCTTCCTTTCGCCCCCTGGAAGGACAGACTGACAGGCTCTGTTCAGAGCCCATCCCTGTGCCCTGGAAACACGGCCTAGCGCCCTGCAGTGCAAGAGAGGTGCTCTGACCTCCATGTGTGGGCGCCACAGTGCTGTTGAAGGGGACCCGGAGTACTGCGACCCGCACACGGGCAGCGTGCTGGCTGAGGCTCACAGGACCTAGGAGGCTATCGAAGGGGCGCCTGCGTGGCACCCAGCAGCCGTGGCGTGTCGTTCTTTGCCTGAGGTATGTGGCCTTTTCCTCGAGGGGAAAAAAAAGGAAAATCGGGGAGTCTGGTAGGACATGCGTTTGGCGCCAAATCCTAAAAGGACTCCGCATCCTAAGACCCGGATGAAGCGTCATCTCTTTCATTTTCCTTTCTTTGGCTTAATTAAAGGGGTGGGAAGGCTGAGATGAGGGCGGGTGTGGAGCGAACCGGGAGCAATCCCATTACGCTGCAAAAGCCACGACCTATTTTTAAGTCACTGAAGAACAAGGAGCCGTCTAGTTAACATTGTCATTTAGAAAAATAAATGAGAGTGAGGCCGTTTCCTGAACCCTCCAAATGATATCTGCTGGGCTTTGCATGAGATTTAAAACGGATCGCAGGCCTTGTTGGCCGCTGCTGTGAGTGAGACACTGCTGTCTCATCCCCATCGCCACCTCCCAGGCACAGGGATGCTCCTTGCAGCTTTGCTCTCAAAGACCCGCCAACCTAGTCCCTACCCCATGTGAGGCTGGGACCCGCCGAGGTCAGTTTCATGGCTCGGTGGTGGAAGAGGGGCTTCTCCATGCCCCTCCCTGTACCCCAGGTTCCACGCAGCGTGCTGTGGAGAAGTCAAGCCCTCCGCACGTGGCAGCGTGTTTGGGGCGGCGCCTTCTCATTACGAAATTGCATCGGCTTGTGGAAGACCGGAGACAGGAGGAAATTCTAACCAAATTAACTACCTTTAAAAAATCAATATATGTTCTCTCAATGTAATACTTGCTGCTGCATTAAAGTGTAGCGCAACCAGGCTTGCGCCGCATCTCGACCCAGGTGGGGTGGGAGAGCTGGGCTGTGCAGGTAGGTGGGTGCCCCGCCTCTGACGTGAGCACCTATTAAGAAGACTCCAGGAGATTAGTTTCCAGTTAAAGATTCTGATTCCAGAAGGCTTCGGTCACAGTAGGGGAGCTGCCAGCCCAGAAAGAGGCTGCAACGGGCACTCACCAGCTGGCGCAGCACCGCGGACCCTGGGTTCGGTCAGGGGTGGGTGCTGGGCCATTCGAACCGCTTGGTATCTGGAAACCTCCAAACGGTGCCGCAGAGCCGCCCGTGCCTGAAGCCAGGACTGCGCCCCCTTCCTGTCCCAGTTTTGCTCCAGAGCGACCTGAACGAGGGCCTGAGCCCGGGGGAAGCGGCAGGGGCGGGGAAAGGGGGGTAGGGTGGGGCGGCGGATCAGACCAGGAGGTGGCCATGAGAAAGTCTCAACCCCGGCCAACCTGGGCTGTGTTTGCTGTAAGTGGCCTTGGGGCCTGGTTGATTGATAACTGGACCCCGCGCAAGTTCATTTGTTTTTTGTTAATATTTATCCCTGAGGGTGACATTTCAACTGTCCCCTCGCTTTCCTGGGCCACGGGAGCCAAGCAGAAGGAGTGCCATGCTGGGCTCTGGGAACTCCACTTTCCCAATCCTCGAAGACTCCCGGCGGGAGAAAAGCCAGGACTGGGCATGTGGGACGCGGGAACTGGAAGGGTGCCTGGGTCCAAGAGTAGGAGGAGAAGGTGCCAAGGAGACTGGTTCCGTCACGCTGTGTCTGGGCCTGACGGGTCTCAGGCAGTGCAGCTGCTCCCAGCCGCCTGAGCCTGGAACAAAAGGCCGGCGGGGAACGGCCAACCTCTGCAGCCTGGAAGCCCGTGGGGAGTGCCTTCTCCGAAGGCCTGGGGTGGCCTCCTCCTGGCGTGGCTGAGGAACTGGCCAGTTGTCAGGCAGAACTCCACCCCCCACCTCAGGCCGAATGGTGGCTTTGCACCTGGGGAGTTGGCTGGGACATCCCCCCCACACACACACACACCCCAGCTGAGCAGGAAACCAAAAGGCCTATCTCTTGGGGACAATCACCAGAAGGCTCTCATGGGGCTTTTTCACAGCCCATGTCTGACCCCTCGAGGATGTAATACTGTAGTTCCCTCTTGTCATCCCCACTAAGGAGCACAAACCCCCGTGAGGAGAGAAAGAGCTTGTGGAGTAAAGACTATGCAGGTGGTTTGACTGGGGGCGGAGGGAGGGAAGGAGGGAGGAGAAACCTGCTTCTGGGGCTTGAGGAGGCCTGACAGTTATTGTGTGGCTACCCTGTTGTCAGCGCATGGAGGAGAGGGCCGCCAAGACAGATAAACCCAGAGGCCTGTTCAGAGGGTGTCTGGCTGTTCCGCCAGAGGGTCCAGCCCCGAGCGCCTTGGAAGTCCTCCGAGGGCCATCAGATGGGCTGTAGTGACCCGCCCGGCCCAGGGCAGGCTGTGGTCAGTAGAGACCCAGGCCTTCAGTCGCTGTTTTGCAACTGGCACTTGGGACGGACTGTGCCAAGAATAGCAAGTTGTGTTGTAGCAGCAAAGTGACTCAAAGCCCAGTGCAACTTTCTTTATCTTCAAGCTTCCAGCCCTCAGCGTGCTACGGGGAGCTGGACTCCTCCTGCACTCCATTTGGGCTCACCTTCTCCAAGTAGCCCGACAGGCTGTGCTGTGGTAGCTGCGTGCGCCCCCTGTGGGCCTCCGGGCTTCCAGCCCAGCAAGCCTGGGTGGTTCAACCCCGCTGAGGAAAGGAATGCATGCTGCGGCTTTGTTTTGTAGAACATCATTGTCCCAGTGATTTCAAAAACAATGGCTATTTTTTATAGGAAGTGGGTGTAGAGGAGGAAGAAAAGGATACTTAGTGGATCTGTCTTGGTCCCCAACAATGCCTGGGTATTACCCCAGTAATGAGACAAAATTGCCATGGGGGGGGCAAGCAAGTACACCCCAACTGTAATCTATCCAAAGAAGATGCATGTTTGGTTTTTCCATCCAAATTATACTTTT